ATTGGGGGCTTTGCCCTGCTGCCGCTTGCCCAGCCAGCATGCAAGAGGAGGCACGATGCAGGTGCGGCTCACTCCAGGCAGAAGGGAGCAAGCGGCATCAGGACATAGCTCCTGTGCCCGCATCAGCATTGGGAGCGGGGACTCTGCTCTACCGCCGCTTGCCAGCTCATGTGGGAGGGCATGGGATGCGGGCATGGCAGCTCTGGGAGTGGGGGCTATGCCCTGCTGCCACTTTCCCCCTTCTCTCCGGAGCGAACCTCCACACCCCCCACACCGGCTGAGCAAGTGGCAGCAGGGCACAGCCCCTGCTCCCCTCTCCGAGTGCTGCTGTGCCTGTATCCCACGCCCCGCTCGCCCTCCCCGAGTAACACGCTGCCCCACCCCAGCTGGGCAGCTTGTCCCGGCCCCAGCCCCAGCCCCAGCCCCAGCCCCAATCCCTCCATCCCCAACGTCTCTTCCCTCCCCTCTCCCCCAACCCCAACAGACTTACCAGCCAGAGGCAGCTGTGTCAGCTGCCTGTTTAATCTAAGCCCAACTCTCCGAAGCAGCATCAAATCTTTCATATTTGATTTGGCCGAATCAAATTGGGACAGTGATTCTAACCTGTGAATTGAATCACTGTCCTCCAAATCAGCTGAATCCAAAGAGAATACTTGCCGCTTCACATGGGCCTAGTACACATACATTTGGACTCAGGAGCTTAAAAGTAGTCATAACTGTAAAAGGATATACGTGTTTCATTATATCCATGAAATCATTACATAGAATATACCTAGGTCATACACTCTGCTTTTCAAGTCAATTATATGGTTAATACATTGGTTTGTACTAAAAATGGCTGATTTATTCCCATTGTGTGAGATTCATTTACATCAATAAAGAGAGCACAAAGCCCAAGATAAACAAGAAGCTCAGTCCCATTTAATTTTCCACTTGATACTACAGAATCTTTCCTACAGACAAATGCACTGTATGTAAGGGGTGCATATGATTTGTACTGACTTTGAATAAAGGATGAAATCTTTTCTACACAATTTTAGTAACGTCTTATTCTTTTACATATTATACTTATCTACTGGTAGTTCAATTGCTGTTTACTACATATGCATCTTTGCTCCATAGGTTTACTGCTCACATTCCCCTTTTTAAATGGCTATTTCCATTTATATAACAAAGTTAACCAGAAGTTATTGTTTTAACTGAGCAAGGTTTATTTGGTGATTTTTTTTTATTGGTCCAACTGCACATTCACAAATAAACTTTCTTGCTTCTCAGATATTTCCTGGGCCATTATGGCTACAGCACAGTTCTAACCCTACTACTTTTTTATTTGGTATTTAGTTTAGGCTATGCCTGTTTCTGCCTCAGACCAGCTGAAGAACATTTTATGCCCAAAAGCTTGTCTGACATTTCCCCCAACCATATAGTTTGTCTAAAGAAAGATATCGCCAAGCAAGCTGCACTCCCCTACACAAGTTTAAATAAGCCTATCGACTTTCTTAGAATAATAAATTCTCACTGTGGGATGGTTTGATTACATCAGTGGAAAGGTCATTAGTTTCTATTGAATTATAGCGGTGCCTACTATGGAACCTATAAACAAAGACTGTAATCCAAAATATCATTAAAATAGACAAACTCCTGCATTGTTAAAAATGAAGTGGCTCCCAGTGCAGTATTTAAGACCTTCAAAATTGCTATATAGTTTCTGTTTGGCTTCTAACTATGATTTTTAAACAGGAAGTGTTTGAAATTGGGCTCTGGCTGACACTTGTCCTGAGCAGTCCAACCATTCATAACTGACAGGTCTTTAAAAAAATTATCTATTTTATTTATAATTACATTTATGTAATTTTAAAAGATCTGTCAATCATCAGACACAAACACACACACACGATTGATCGATCAATCTATCTACATCATATATCCACCCAAAGTTAGGCAGGCAGATATATCCTGAGTTTACCAAGTAGTTTAAGAACCCTTCTGAATTGGAAACCATTTCAAATAAATATGAAGGATTTCCTCATTTTTTCAAAATAATGTTAATGGAGGCACCTGTTTCTTTCTCCACTCCCCCCACCCCCAACACTTTAAATTTGTAGGCAGTGGTCTTGCAAACATTTATGACCATGCTTAATTTATACACAAGTACTCTCATAATGCTCAGATGATTTTTTAAAAAATTTTTACAGGACTCAGATTTTCTATGCAAATCTAAATTTGGCAACAAACAGCCTCTTTTCACAAAAAAACTCATACATTCTGACAAAAGCCCAATTTTCTGTGTGGAAACAGTTGCTATGAATACCTGTCTTAATTCTAAGCAATTTTACCCCATTAGCCTTTAAGAATGTATACAATTTAATATTGCACTTATTTAGACATGCAATTATAATAGCTAATAGAAAATGTGCAGTCAATATCTGAAACGTATTTACCATAGAACAATGTACTACTCCCTTATGCACTTAACAGTTTACTCCCTTTCGGAAAAAGGAAACAGTAGATTTGAAACACACAGCCGAAAGCCAAATATCTATTTTCTTCCAGTTCAGGGAAAGGTCTTCACAAAAACCCAACTGATTAAATTTCCCTTGAACTTGATGTAAGTCACTTAAGAGCTTCTAATTTTTTTACCTTAGTTTTCATCTTTACTTTGAGCTTTTTTGAAAATCCACTCCTAACAGTGTGATCAGAAATTATTCAGAAACTTTAGCTAACATCCAGAAAATATTATAGGAGGATTCTGCCTCTGTCAGAAAAGAAATCTTATCATTAGCACACAGGACACAGGACAGCACACAGCACAGCACACAGGACACAGGACAGGTCTACAGGTATATTACATGTAGGCATAGATGCAGATCTTCTAGTTCATTGTGAACAGGAAATACTAATAGTTCAAGGATAATTTAAAATGTTGGGGAGAAATAAGAGGCATTCCAGTAATGAGATTTGGGTAGATGGCCTACTCCATGTTTCTCTGGAAATGAGACCACATACAACAGAACTGAAAAGCCAGATTAGTAAAGTGGTACCAAGTACAAGTAAATTTTAAGTATGAAGTAAATAGTCCCATTCTATTCAGTCAAAAGCTCTCTCAGCTTCTATCAAGTCATCTGCCACATGGGAATTGAGTTTATTTGCCAGGTGATAATGTTGCACACAGTGTTCAGGTGTTTGTAAAATCTGTTTTTGACAAGTCCCACTTGGGAGATATATATAATGCATGGAACTATTGTTTCCTAGTAACTGCATTAATGTGGCAAATATTTTGTACCCAAATTTGAGAGCAATGCTCCAGTAATTAGTTCAGACCAAGGGATCACAATCACATTTTAGAATAAGGATAAACAGTTTTATATAAAATTGGCCAAATGTAGGTAGTTTGTATATAGGAACAGTAAGAGGCATATCCCTGGAGCCAGAACAGGCTGCCTTTCTGGCCCAACACATCAGGCACATGGGTAATTGTTGGGTAAAGCTGGGAGGTAGAGTGCTAACAAAACTCTATCATGCTTATAAATCTCAGAGGTGAAACCAGAACTCAGGTTTTGTGGTTGTAAGAGAGGAAAATCTCACTATAATGGTATTGTAAGAGTCCCTAACAATTGTTGACCCACTTCTCTCTATTTTCCAATAATGTCTTCTCTCTTTCAAATATTTACAGGAAAGATAATCACGCACTCATTACATACCAAATGGATAAAAATAAAAATAAAGGATGGATTATTAATTCTAATGCTTAAGTCACTTTTGAAAATGGATTTATATTAGGGATTGGCAACCTACGACCCACTGGCTGGATCCAACCAATGGAGTAAATTTATCCAGGCAGTGAAGCCCAGATATCAGCCGTGGGGCGGGGCTTCTGCAGCAAAAGGGGATTCATAGACATAGCAATGGCTGACCTGGAAATGTTGGCTCACCATGAAACGAATGGCATTATTTGGACCAGCTGCTCCTGAAGGTTACTGAACCTTTATTTATGTGCTTAACTCTCTTGGGCACTTTTGTTATTTCTACTTTTTGTGTCAATAGGCTTGAACTCTTGATTTATTAGTAATTTAAATGGATTAGTCATTAATTAATTAGACTAGGAAGTTCATTTAAGAGAGTTAATTTATAACATCTCAGGATCTGGGCCCATATTAAAGGAGATTTGCAAAAGTGTCAGTGGAATGTAAAAACACCAAACCCATTTCCTTGCATTAGGAAACTGTCAATGCAAGCTACATTGATATATGTATAGTTTCAATCAATTAGAGTATTGACAGAGATTTCCACTGAGTTATCTCTAAACAGATTTAAAAAACACACACCTTTGAAAATAGTGCAGGTGCAATTTTTTAAGTAGACCATGCAAAAGCTAATGAGCTGCACTTAAATGTTATCAATTCCTCAATGCCAGCTAGTGACATGATAAGGGGGAAATGTGTTCATATGGGTTCCTGGAGTAGAGAAAACATTATGTTACGAACTCTGAAGAGAGTTTCCTACCTGTGCAGATGGGGCAAGGGAAAGGAAGCAGAAACCTTCCAGTATGCTAACCAATTTCCATCCAGCTTCTTATCAGGACTTCATTAACATTGAATATGAGATAGAAACAAGGTTAAAGTAGTATTTTAATCTCTAAAACCACTGAGTCAGCATGACAGTAACATACAACTCAGAATTAATGAAGACATGCGAGAATGTTTGCATTGCAAGAGGGAGACGAAGATAACAGAAGGTGAAAGGTCAAGTCCATTAGCAGAAAATAACATTTTAATTCAGGCTGCATTTCAGGAGTTTAGCCTATTCCCAGTGTGTCCACAGTTGACTAACCTGCTGCTAAACAACCACCTTATTCAAGGAAGAAGAGAATAGTGGGTGTAACTCACAATTACTAAAATGAATTGTGCTAGTCTCCCTTTTCTTAAGCTTATAAAAGGAACAATAAACTCGATGAATAAAAGGGTTTTTTTTAGAAAACTCACCCTCTATTCACAACTCACCTGAAATTTTTTCTTTGCCACAAAATACTGCATCCTACGTATCACCTTAATGGCAGCACGGTGGTGTTCTCGCAGCCTGTGGGAAAAACGAGAAGGGTGAGCCAGGTGAAAGAGAGCATCTCCAGCCAGATAATAACAATAACAACTTTCAGTAAGTGCTTCAGAAACAAGTGAATGTTTATGCAAGAAGCAACAATTCCCACTGTGGACACAACACACCATTATTTTGGCCAAAAAGAAAATGAAAAAAAAGAGAGACTGTTAAAACCTGGAACTTAATCTTTACGATTTATGTTAAGACTGAGTGTACTTCACAATGTTAAGTGGTGACCATATGAATCCCTTCCTATGTCAGGTAACACCCCCCCAGCCCCTCATTGTTTTTGCTATCTTTCCTTCGAAAAAGCCCAGCGACAAACTTTTAGAGAATTGTCTCTCAGGTTTCCATATGTACTTCAATGCCCTGTTCCATTTACAAATGCTCCACTGCTGTAGCCTATTGTATAACATTTTTGCCCAAACACCTTGCAAAGTTTTTCTCCACTTGCATGGATTTATCCTTCAATTCTCTCTCTCTTAAGGACTCTGGAGTGATTAACTGCAAGGGAATGAATACAATACATACATTTATAACTACAATAGTTGTAAATGTTTCATACACCAGCAGTTGTCCCAAAACAAAACCATAAATTAATATAAAGAACAACCAAAATAATCCAGATAGCCTTTAACAGGAAAAAGCCACTAACCAGAAACAGAATCAAGAAAAAGTTTGTTGCTGAGTAGTTCACAATAACTGACTACTGTAAACTATTTAATTTTCAAAACACAGTGTATTAAATACTATACTTTGTTATCTTGTATAATTCATTAGGAACTGGTTTTTCAGTATAGTTTTCATTTTTTAAAAACATTTATAAAATGATAATCTTTTCCTTATAGTTATAATAAGACTTGTAGTGATGATTATGTGTGCTAATTCATTCTTAAGGCAAACAATCTTAATCTTGTAAAGGCCCATTTGATTGGAATTAATGTAGTTTCTTCTCCATTTAAAATACATCAGTTAACAATAAATCATTGAATTTTCTTCCTAGAAGAGTTCAATGCTTTTAGTAGCAACTAACAAATGAAGACAGAGCAGAGTTGGTCTTCCTTAAGATTTTTCCAAAAGCATTATCTTTGTAACTTATTATCGGTAACAATGATGATTATTTACTTATACTGATGCAGGCTTCAGCTGCTACTGTGCAGTGTTGTCCTGACTGTATTGAGTTGACAGCCTTCCTATCCTTTATGAGATGGGAACATCACATAAAGATCCTTTGCATGTTTGGGTTTCTTGCATAGTACAACTCAACACTATTAGCCAAACCTCTTGAGTCACATAAGCACTTTTCTTGGAGCATCTAAAAAATGTCCTTGGGGCATGTTTCCTCTGGTCAAAGCTTTCCATTGTGAAAATGATGAAACTACTTTGTGGGCAATTATAGTTCTACTTTTGTAAACTCATTCAGTAAAAAACAGCATTCCTTGAGGAAAACAACATCCTTTTCTGCCTGCAAAAACAGCCTCATTTTCATTTAAAAAAAATCAGAATGAAGAATTCCACTGTTTCAGATATAACAATTCTCATGCAGGGTGTGGGGGCATCCTGGGATACTGCCAAATCCTTTGAAGGGTGAGGTACGAAGAGAAAATCAGATAACCTAAGCAGATATATGCAGGCTCATACTTGTCCCTGCCTAAACATTTTCCTAGGCCCACTGCCTAGTCCATCTGTAAGAAGGTAAGCACTTCTAATATGTATATTAGTTTTTGGAATTGGGTGCTCATTTCACAAAAGTGATGGAGGCGTAACTTGAGTACAAAAAGCTTGAGTACCACACACCAGAGAACATCATTTATTTTAAAGTCCTGGTGCAAGTCTTCTCTACAAGTTACTGTGTGAGGTAAGGCAAGGTTTTTGGGTAGATGTGATAGCTTTTATTAGACCAACTAAATAGTTGGATAAAAGTCCCTGCTTGCTAAGAACATTTTCTCAACTATTTACTTGGTCTAATTAAATAAAAGCTATCACATCTACCCAAAGAACCTTGTCTGCCTATGTCCTTAGACCAACATAGCTACAACCAACAACCCTGTTACGTGAGGTAAGGAGCTTTTATTTAGCTAGATACCAAGACATTAACCTTTGAAAACCATGCTTTTGGGGTATATTTCTGCAGCTGGATCTGTCTGCATATGCAGACCCTTGCTCCTTTCTGATACCCTGTTAGTCTCTCTCAGTGAAGTTTTATACAGGTGCAGATGACTTTGCTCATTCCAGGGGGGAACATGGTTCAAGAGAATAGGAACAGAAGTGCAGTCCTCTCAGCTGGAACAGAAGTTTCATTGGGATAACTCCCAGGGAATGGATGTACCTAACTGAAAGTGAATAAATCTTATGTTGTCTTACATATCCATCCTTCAGGTCATTATTTTGGCATCTATGTGCCTTGCAATTCCTGCTTAATCAGAAAGTCATTGTTTTTTAACTCTACTTGTTAGGTTTCATTTAAGTGCCACTGGTCGCGTGATTTTTACCTTGATATTAAATAAGCATAGGTGTGAAAGTCTGAACTGTACTATAAACATATTAGTAGCCAAAAAAATTATATGAAAAAACAATGGCAGTAAAATACTTTGGTGTGATTTTGTTTTGTACTTGATTTAATTTGGGATCTTCTCTTCAAGCATGTTAGATTTTAGACATGTACACACAACTGCCAATAATGTCAATGGAATCATCAAGCTTCTCTAAGATAATTTATCTCATAAATGAGACAGTCATCAATTAGAATAATAAAGTATCCATTGTGGATCTCCATTACATGATACTAGATGGTTTTCCAAAGCAACCACTTCAATCAATCTTTTCCCTCCACCTTATTCTTCACACCAGGACTCCAACAGCACCGCCCCCTGCACCCAAGCCCCCCTGCCAATTCACCCACCACTTTTTATTGCTAATACTGACAATGTTAATTCTGCATACAAGGCTCTGCTTATTCCCAGAAATTAAATACTTCTGTAATGAAAGAAGGGAATAAGGAATTTAATTAGTAGCCAAGGTTATGATACACACTTGTTTGATCTTTTGTGCAAACTAGTAACTTTAGTAAATTCTGAGTTTAAACATTAACTGGTACAATTTGTTTGTATGACCATTTGCGACACATCTCTGATCTCTAGACAGACAGCTGGTGTATTATCATGTCTATAATGCATTAGGTCCTCTTAGAATTGCACATCTGCCACCTAGCCATACAACCCTTTATCATTCTCAAAGTAGGGTTTTCATTAATACATCTCAGGGCACAAGGAGCAATGAAAAATTTTGAAAGTGCTTCTTGATATAGGTAGCAACATTCCTTCACTGCCTGTGGGCCAGGTTCTGCAAGTGGGCTGGAAATGGCTGATGGAGAACTCTTTTTATGCAAGGGAAATTCCCCATGGACAGAAAACAGAAGTAATTTTACCTCCTTCCTCACATCTTGTGCAAAAGGTTCACAGGCGATGTGGGGTTGCAGAGATCAGATCTGCCATGCGACTGTCCACAGCTGCGTGGTTCCTCAGGCCAGTGACAAAGTGGGACTCCCCTGAACACCATGACTACCTTATGCTAGGGCTGGGATTATGTGATGATGAGTAGTAGCCGCTACTGGGGGCTGTACGCTTTTGAAAGCCTTCTAATTTCATTTTAGTCTCTAAAGGAAGTGGGGTAGACTTAAAATTCTAGCCTTCCGATGTTATGGGATTGGATTTAGCCAGCTTTGGCAAAGAGTTAATTAATGAATATACCATGGGTAGGTCAGAGAGCAGGAAAGGCAAGATTGAAAAAAGATTCAGAGTTATTTAATATTTTTTGCAAGCCAGTAACAAACAACACACACACACACACACACACACACACTTGCCTTTCATTAAGATATTTACAGAAAGCCATGCATTAAGGTTAGGTGTTGTGTGGCACTATTAGGAAACACATGGCCATCGCTGAAGAGACTTGCATTTGTTTTTGCCCAATAACCAGTGGACACAGTTGACACATTATCTTAAAACAAGCTGAAGAGGATGTTATGTCTGTAAAATCCAGACTGAGCTTCAAGTAACATCTCAGTTGCATCTTGCTGAAGAGAAGTCAGGTAAACTTTTAGTTTACTTTAGTGCAGGGCAGGCAGTGATGGTGGCGGCACTACTGGGAGGGGTGACTATGGGGAGCTACGGGGAATTTTGGGGTGGCTATAGCCCCCCCAAGCCCCTTCCCCCAGTGCCACCCCTGCTGGCAGGGCATGCAGCAGGGCGGGGAGCTGCTTTGAAGCCCAGCTGCAATCTTGCGGCGGTGACAGCATGGTACAGAGCCAGGGCAGGGCCGTGATCTGCAGCCTGCCTGCCCCAGGCAGGGCTGTGCAGGCAGCGGGCCATGGCTCTGCCCTGGTTCCGAACTATGTTGTCACCACTGCAAGGAGCCAGGGAAGAGCTGCGATCTGCTGCTGTTTTGCCCACCCCTGCCTTAGACCAACACAGCTACAACCAACTATCCTTTATTCACCTGTGTTACTTTTCTGGATCTGAATAATTTCATAGACTGTAGCTGACCAGATTGAATTTTCCTGGGGACTACTCACATATGCAGAGCTAAATACATGGCAGGATTCAGCCTCAGATTATTTATACCCCCTGCATAGATTAACTTACTCTAGGTATGTGTATCCAAGGGCACAGTGGTAGCTTAAATAAATGAAAAAGTTAAAAGAATATAACAATAAAATGGTCCAGTATTCTATGCCAGACTGATTCTTCTCTTTTTTTCCCTGTTATGTAAGGCATGTTACAACTCTGCATATTTAAAAAACAAAACAAAACAAATGAATAGTTCATCCATGTCTGAACAGAGCTGACAATTTACACAACATCTATATGCAGGGAATATGATACTGGAAAGCAAGTGCACAACAGGCACACTTGTTATTCTTTAAAAGGATTTATGCTTATCAGGGAAAACCATGTGTGCATTTTGCTGTGATAGATCAG